CTTTGTCTGGAGTCTACAAGCAATAATATGAAAATCTTACTTCAAGCATGCTTATATCTGTCTATCTAGATGTCCTTGAGTACACAATAATTTTGGGTGTTAAAAGTAGAGTTTTTTGCACTCGAAATTCATGTTTTTGATTTTTTTCAATTGATCTAAATAAAGTGCTTTGGTATCTGACTTTTCCATGCTGATTTAAAAATTTACACTGTACTTGGAGAAATATAGCTTCGAGCAAGATTCAGAGCAAGACTGAATAAAATTATTGGAATTAAAATGACTATGCCCCCTTTTCAGTAAGTTTTTTGAGGATTTTTTTTGTGCAGGTGAGGAGGTGAAATATGCCTTCCGCATCATCAGCGCTGTCGTCACAGCAACCGTATGTGTGTGTTGCAGGTCACTAAAAGCCCAGATCTCTGATCCATATTTTGCGGTGAATCATGACTCCATTGTATAAAACTGTGTCGATATCAAAAAAAAACCAATTTGTCAAAAGGGTTTTAATTCATTATGTCAAAATCAGCTGTTTTGCTTTAATTTTATGATTTTAAACATTCCATCTAATAAAAATGGTTTTTTTGAGTGATAACTAAATACAAATAAATTGTGAACCACACAAAATCGTAAAAAGGTAAACAAAAATGCATGAGAGAAATATAAAACTGATTATTCGACATTATGGTTTAAAAAATTTTTGCGTAAGAGGAAGCACTCTCTTAAGTAGCACAACCTTATATAATTGAATCCTGCTACCTCAAAATAATATTTTTCTCTTAAAAGCTCCTAGGCATGTATGTATTTAGGTATGTCGCAATCGCATATTTCACCAAAATAAAATTTACGCTCCTTTACAGAATACTAATTTGTCTTGTCTGTGCAAAATAAAGACGAAAATATACGATACATACATTCAAGTACACTTCATTGCCAATGAAATAAATTAATAGTGCTTTACAGCTTGTAGGCATAAACAATAAACATACAAATACATACATATATATATTTGATGACGACAGTCAATAAATTTCAAAAATTCCAAATTTTTGAACAAAGCCAATTACTTCAACATACAAACGTGTTTAGAATGACAATACCGAAACAACGGAGTTCATAGCTCTTTTAGTGATTCTAAAGAACGAACTTACGCTTATATAGAATATTATATGAATATAATCGACAGCAAAAGAACACCCCTAAACATAAACGATTATCATTTGCAATAAAAGTAATTTAAAAAGTACTAAAGAGGTTTTGAAATAAGGAAGCCCAATTAAAATCGGTATTAATGATGTTATGGTTAGATGACACTCACTACTAAACGCGATCTAACTATTCTTATAGATATTAGTTAGAATTTGTTTAAAATAAAGGAGATCTGCCTAATGATAGAATCAGCAAAATTTCATACCGAAACCTTGATGAGCTTTCTCAGCAAATAAATATTTCCTGATACCCAATTCTTTTTTATATTGGAAAGTCTAAATCAATCGAACAGGCGCTTAAATGAACACAAGAATTTCTTCGATCTCTAGTGAACTGTTGAACATTTAGGTTAAAACTAAAAAATCGATCGAGTAAGAGCATAGGTCTCATTAACTTAAACTCATTATTGTCGGATGTTTACCGTAGAACATACCTATATACTAGGCTGGCGAGAAACAGAAACTACCACAAAAGCTTAATCGAGCTTCTACTCGTATTTATGGGTGGTGACCTAACACTAAAAGCCTTCAACCTTCTGGCGGCTGTGGGTTTTATTAGAAGTTTTTTCTAGAGAAAAATATTCGCGAAGTTTCGCCATTGTATACAAGGCAGAAACTGAAGTCGAATACAAAACCTTCGAAATAGTTCTACTTTTACAGCGTTAAGACGGCGTCAGAATGGGTACTTGTACGTCAACGACGGAAAAGTATGCTAATGAAGTGACGTACGTAACGTTAAGGTATGCCACAATGAATGCGTTGCTCTTGTAAACATAAATCAGCTGTTAATTATTACCGCCAATTTACTGTATTTGTCGTATGCAAACAGTTGAGAGTTGGCCTACTGGATTCTTCTACGGTACAGTACGCATTGTCAATCTGTCGCTCTCCATATCTATGCACACATTCAAGCCAGCTGTCAGTTGCATACTTTTCCATAACGGAGTCAACGTACCCATTCTGACGCCGCCTTCAGTCAGTTTATTTAATTATGACTTCCAGCTTGGAAACATCAAAAGTAGAAAAGTGTTATTTATTTTCATGAAATAAATGTTTCTACCAAATAATAAAGGAATTCTAAAAAAATCCCGAAATTACAATTAGTAAACACTAAAATTTGTAAAAGATTCTTTGAACCACACAAATAATTTGAAAGACGTGCTCCTTTGCAAGGTTTCGCAACCCGTTCCTCGGTTTTGTTCGTATTTTATTAATGTAAGTAGGCTCAAAGGCAGCAGAAATATTTCACCTAATTTACAATTCCAGTGCAAAGCGCCATTGGCACATGTTCTTACATATGTGAACACGTACATACTTATACAGAAATGAATTTTACGGACATTAATACCAGTAGAATCACAATTCAAAGGCGCACAATAAAAGCATAATTCAAGTTGTCGCCTCGTATGTCAACGACTTACCAGTCACCACAGCTGCCGCGCAGCGAGCCGACCAGCCGTATAATGAGAGTGTACAAACAATACATGCGAGTGAGCACACAAGCAATCAAATCTAAACTTGAGTATGAGTAGTTTCTCATAATGCGATCGGTTGCAACGAAACGCTGAGACATTGAATTGATTTGTTTTGGTCTTGTTTCTCATTGTTCTTTAAATGCCTGTCGTCTGCCAGCTGGAATGACATTTATTTTGCCGCTAAAGCAACGCGGCGCCATACTTTTAATCATGCTCAGCGCGCACGAGTGAACAAAAATCACCTGAGAAGCAAAAAACATACGAGTAACCAAAAATACTGGGATTTCAAAGAGATTTGTATATTGTGGAAGATATTCTAATCCGTAACTAACGCGTTAGTTAATGAAATGGAATAGAGATATGAGAATTTTGCAAACATTTTCCAGATCTTATATACATATAGCAGTCATACAAACAAAATCAAGTTCTTCTTAAACTTCTCTATTTGTGAAGGATATTCTAACTGCAGTGCAACCATTTTTTATTAATTTTTATTATTTAATTATAATTATTTATTTTTATTTAATTTTAATATAATATGCCTCTTAAAAAAACACAAAAAACGCGCTTAGTTTTGGCTTGTAAGTGTATATAAACCCTTAATTACTCATGATACTATCACTCTGAATATTCTCTACAAACACAACAACCCACTAAAACATCTTTATCTCTGGGCCAATCACGATGAGGAATCGACAGAACCTTTTTAGAAAACTATTACTTTAAAGACGCTTCAGTCTTCCTCTTATTTGCTAAATAAAACACAATACACTTCCCCGAGCGCATATCCTTTAAGCGTTTCCCTTTAAAAATTGACAAATTACACATTAATGGCTTAGTTTGCTTTATGGCCAATGTTAAATGCCTTCCTTAAAACAACAAAAATAAACAAATACGAATCGCCCTGCTTCGTGCCAACTAAACGCTACGACGGCGATGGGTCCTTGGCAAATCGCTACATTTTATGCAAGTATTAAAATTTTTTCTACACACCTCGCTTGCAGCCAGAATTTATTACCACAGACACCTCATTTAGTTCGCACAGAAGCCGTTGCACACACCAACACCTGCAAGTATATACCTACATGTGTATGTGTGTAAGTTTATGTACAGCAAGGTTTTAACACAGACACAATGTTTACCATTAAATAAAGTGTTGCTCGCGTCACACCTGGACACGGACTTGTGAAGGGGTTATTACTACTGACATTGTTGCTAACATTTAAAATTATAGTATTTGCCAAGCGGCAGCAAATATATGAGAAATATCTAAGCGTAAAACTATTATCACTGACGGGTTTAATGCACAACAATTAATTTCTGTTACATTTAAATTTCATTTAAATGATTAATGCTTTAAAGCTGTTGACCTTTACGGTGGGCGCTGGGTACAGCAAATAAACTGTGTTGAAAAATAATGATATAACAAAATTTTCAGATATATAGGCTAATATTATCCATCTAGCATAGACGCATCCTTACTCCCCTGGTTATCATATACTGTATTTTTGAATGCACAAACTAATTTTTCGAAATTCTTTTGACAATATCAATTTTAAGCCCGCAATGAACAGTTCAATGATTGTTGGAACAAGCTGTTGCTGTCAAAAATAAAAAGAGAGGCTTGAAATGCCCTGCAAAAAGTTGACTACCCTATAATCGTATATATTTCATGGTGTTATGAAAAATAATGTTATTATTATTTCTTCCAATTTTTAAATAAAGAAACTATTTCATCAATTTTCAATTCTAATATTCTGATTTAAAACTAAATTTCCAGTTTTTGTTTCCGATTTACAGTTTAAAGAATTAAATTTTCAGTTTTATTTCAAAACTTTTAATTAAAAAATGCGCAACCCAGATCTTTTTTTAATATATATATTAAATTAAGAAAAAAAATTATAAAAATTTTAAACCTAAAAGAAGTATTTCATTTTGCTTGCCTTTAATTTTTCACTTGCATAATTTCAATTTATTTTATTTAACTTTATTTGAATTTATTTTATTTTCTTTTCATTTATTTAATTGTATCCTATTTAACTTAATTTTATTTACTTTATTTTATTTTAATATATTTTATTATATTTAATTTTATATTATTTTAATTTAATTTATTTAGTTTTATTTCATTTAATTTTATTTTATTTAATATTATTTTATTTTATTAAGTTTTATTTTGTTTCATTTTATATGCTTTATTTTAATTTATTTTATTTTAATTTATTTTATTTTATTTTAGTTTATATTATATTATTTTATTTTATTTTAATTTATTTTTTTATTTAGTTTTACTAATTATATTTTTTTTCCTTCTTTTATTTAGGATTGCCATGGCTCAGCAAAGCATCCCAATGCAGCCCCGATTCAGGACGATACGCAAAACTACAATGTGATTGATGGTGGACAAAATGGAACGCACACCTGGGTAGAATTCTCACGTAAATTGGAGACTTGCGATCCATACGATTTGCCATTGGGGGTAAGTCGACATTTGTTATTTTTATCAAAATCAAAAAGAGTTAAAAATTCTGAAAAACGGTTAGTCGAATAAACTGCAAAAATACTCGTGGGCAAAATATTTGAAGTGCTCATAATAATTGTGATTTTAGAAAATCAATGAACTTTTTAAAATAAAAATATTATACTATATCAATTTTATTTTATTGTGCAGTTTAAAAGATAAGTTTAATACTTAGTATAAAAACATAAATTAATGATTTTGACAATTTTTCTAAGAGTATAATATCTTATGTATTAGTTACTAATTCAGTTATACACTATAACACTGTTTGGATTGTAAATACAAATTATTAAAAAATTTAAATTATTAAATAAATATAGTAAAATTTTGATACAAAATCTGACAAAATTACAAAAAATATTTAACTAGATTACATTAAAGTAAATACATTAAAACATGCTAAAATTGGTTAAATCTACACCGTTTAGGAGCACAAGAGGTAAAACACTTTAAAATATTAACATTTAAGGGGCATAATAATATTAGAATAAAGAACAATAAAAGGGATATTGGTAAATTAAATTATTATATGTTTAGCGGAGTTTTGACGACATTATATTAACGCATCTTATAAGCTGCGCCACTGTGAGATGCGTTTTGACCGCTGCGCCTACCATATACTTTATTACAAACCTCAACGCATTCGCTAATCTGAGCTGGAGTCATACCTAGAAGGGATTAATGATAAATAGTAGACAAAAATACTTGATATTATATAATCTACCATGTGCGGTCGTCAGTTCCTCCTCTGTGCTTGGAAAACGTCGAAAATAGTTAATAAGCGTGTGATGTCGACGCAGACAGGCCACACATAAAGCTGGCACAATGGATGACTTATTGAAATCCGTATAGGAGCGAAATCTCAATAACAAACGCACAACATCCAAACTGCCACAATAAGTGGCCAGCGTTAAGGCATTTTGACCTGTAAAAGAGTGGCATTTATGTTGTGCCAAATAATTTATGTTTTTTCTTCTACCACACCAATAAAGCTCGAGTACGCACCTAAATAATTCATTGCTTTCAAATTAGCGCCACGTTTTAGTAGCAATTCCACGTGGTCACGTCGACCCAAATAGCACGCCTTCAAAAGTGGCGTATTGCCATAGATATCGGTCTCCTCCAGATCGAATTTTTCGGGATTACTTTTGTACTGGGCCAATAAGGCACGCAACACTGTTGTGCTGCTGTCTTCAACGGACTTTAAAACTACAAGGAAAAATTTATTAAAATGTTAACAATAGAAATTTAAGTATTTTACTAACAACTCATTTTTCATACAAATTCGGCACTAAACACATCAGACTAAACATTAAATGAATGTACCGTTTTAATTGTTATTATTTTATAGCCGTTAGTTCAGGGTTGCACTTAAATGTCAAGTAAAAAATTTATTAGTTCTTTGCACATTAAGATTGGTTAAAATTTTAAAAAAGTGTAGTAAGAAGTCAAATTCAGGCATTTATTTTTCTTTTTACACAATCACCTGAAAAATTTATCGTAAAATTCACCTAGAACTTAAAAAAGTAAATTAAATAATCGAAAAATCGTGATCAATACTGATAAAGCTATTTTTCAAAACTTTATATTTGTCAACGTTTTGAAACATTCCAAAATGGAAACAAAACGGGTTTCATTACATTTAAGGCGCCTAACATTTCATTTCATATTTACTTAAATACCGGTTTTCACGATTAATTCATTAATTTCATTTATTTTAAAAATATACTGAACTTGAAACAGGTTGACACCGTCAAAGTTCTATGGACATTCGGTGAAAGAGATCCTATTTATGGCGACTTAAAGGGACATGGCAAAAATCGCGGTTACAAATCACTCAACTTGCTTGGACCAATGTTTCGTAAAGAGGCCAACCCTGACACACACAAATGGGATGTTACAGTGCAGAATGTAAGTAAAAGTACTCCAACAATAAACAATTAATACTTTAATTAAAAAAAAAATATTTAAATATATATTATATATATTTCTTAAAAGAAAATTTCGTTATATGTTCTAAGTATATGATAATTTTTGTTTATTGATTGTGAGTTTGAAAAAATTAAAAAAAAAAAAAAATTATGAAAAAATTATATAACATATTTGAGTAACTTTATTATACAACAAAAATATTGCACCTTTTGACACTTAAACCATAAAATAACCTTTTTTTATAAATATATATTACGTTAGGTCACAATTGAGCCCAGCATGGACACGTTATACTGGTGTAAGATAATACGCGCGCCCACGCTAAGTGAGAAGCATCACATAATTGGTTATGAAGCATTGTTATCACGTGAGAGGTGAGTGAGTTCAGACTTTGTTTTACAAATAAATATGGATTTCGGTAAACAAATATGTAGATGATCATAATATACATATGTTTGACAGACGCAACTACAACAACCGATATTAAGATTAAAGTAAAAATAAACAAAAAAGCTACATTGTAGAAATTAGTAAGCAGCTAACCCGATTTTGGACACCTTTTAAGCGCGTAGCAATTTTGAAGGTTTAAATTATATTTTTTTGTCTTCAAGCATTTATGTTTAAGTTAAATTTGATGTATAGTATATTAAAATTGTTGATGTGATATTTTAGAATGTAATTTGTAGCCATAGTTTGATTATGTCTTAAGTTGACTTTGGCTGTTCCACCTGGCGCTGAATTATCGATCGCTTTTGTTGGTGATATGTGCCTTAACATCTTGTGAAATGTACGTTTACACAATTTCAATTCAATTTCAAGTGGCCTGAAGAGGCTATTTTTAAGAAAATGTTTTTTAATTGTCTGATCAAAATTGACCCGGACTGACAAAAAAATCATATTCACTTGTTTTAATACAAATATTTCTTATCGCTTCCAAAATTGGTATTATTGTATATGCATCTAGTGTAAATATAAGGCAACTTATTATATCGATTAATAATATTTTAGCCAGGCATATGACATTTATACGTATATACATACAGACACATGCATAAATGTCAGTCAATTGCAAACCAAAATTGACTGTCTACATTAAAAGGTATTGAAGACACAGCTTGTTGTCGCGCAGCAGGATATATGATTACACAAACCAGTGACTACTTAAGAACATATTTCTTATTCCATAAGCATATATAATCTATATGTATTGGCTTATAAGCTCACCCCAACTGGTGAAAAATATATATGTACATGCATGCTTGGATTTATCCTACATTCTTCTACGTCTGCTTCTGAAAACCTACTTTACGTTTAACTGGTTGCATCGCTGGTGCCCAAGTAGGCAGTCTTGGTGACGTAGATATGGAAAATAAATCATAGAAATATATATAATTAGTTATTAATTATCAATATTTTTATATATCTTTAATGAAACCGCAAAAAATTTTAGATATTTTACAAAAAACAAAAAAATAGCTAAGCTGCTTAAAAACTTTTCCAATTTTAAATCTTCGAACCTTACCACCTGGTAAAAGCGCCAAATTCTTAAGCATTTATAGAAATATAACTCGCATTACCACAGCAAGTCACTCAACCCAATTGTCAAGTGTCAACCACAGGCCGCGACTGGAAATGCCAAAGTGAGTTGGAGATGTCTTTGATGATGAAGTGGCTAACGCAAGGGTCGCGTTTACATACAAACATATAACGGCATAATTGGTATAATAATAATGAAACCACAAGTTATTAATGCAGTTGGCTGCATAATCTCGGTTAGAATATTTTTCTAAATATGAATTTATGATCTCAATAAAGACGAACGCTAAACTTAAATGTATACTTCTCTGAATTATAGGTAATATATCATTTAATGATTTGTAAAGTAGGTAACGAAAGGTTAAAAAAACACGTAGGCAATCTTAATCCTGCGATCCTGCCTAGATTGATAACTTGACCCTTTACATCAAAAATTTAAATTTGAAAATGTATTTAAACATAAATTAATTTCCATTTTTTTGGCATTATATTATACCCTTACATTTTGCATGTAAATACTCTACTTCCATTATCTTAAGAGTCTTCTTCTAAAAACACTTCTGTAACGTTTTCAATCATTCTGTAGTTGTAATTCCAAAATAAAAAGCAAATTAAAAAAAATAATAAAAAACGTTGACTTCGGCTGTAACGAAGCCTTTACAAATACCAAAGATCCCTTACAAGAACTTGATTTTGAACGGTCAGTTTGCAGCTATATGCTATAGTAACCCGACCTAAATAATTTTTTCGGAGATTGCACTATTACTTTAGATAATAACCAGTGCCAAATTTGGTGAAGATATCTCGTCAAATGGAAAAGTTGTCCACACAAACACATGATTCCGATAGTTCAGTTTGCATGGCAGCTATATGCTATAGTAATCCGATATCAACGGTTCCGACAAATGAACAGCTTCTTGTGGAGAAAATTTCAGATTGATATCTCATAAACTGAGAAACTATTTCGCCTATATACACAGACAGACGGGCGTAGATCAAATGAAAAAGTTTTCCATACAAGGGCTTGATTTTGACCGATCAATTTGTATGTCAGCTATATACTATAGTGGTTTCTTGGTCTTGGTTAAGGCCATATGTAAAATTTCATATCGATATCTCGAAAAGTAAGGAACTAGTTCACGTATATACAGACAGACGGACAGTGGGACGGAAGGACGAACATGGCTTAATCAACTCAGCTCGTCATGCTGACCGTTTATACTCGTATACCCCTTATAGGGTCACTGACACTTCCTTCAGGTTTCACAAACTTCGTGTCAAACTTAATATACACTAGGTATAATTAAGGTGCTATATAGCCGGTAGAATAAGAGTGTTTTGGTTGATCTTAACTACCTATGTCCATCCCAATCAATTTGTTCGGCTATTTGAAGTGTAGTATCAATTTGGTGTTAAGGTTGTGGTAACTAAATTCTCTCTCTCCTTTCTGTAATAATTGACTTTTAAACTCTTAAGACATGACATGAAAAAAAATATAAATCACTTAAACGCCTAGAAATATGCTATGTAATATGCGTAGAATCCACAAAACGAACTTAATGCTTGTAAATTCTCGCTTTCTAAGCACCACACTTTATACTCTTTTATTGTATTTAAATTCATTAACTACATTGCATTCATTTAAATTTCAATTACAGCAACACCAACCAACCGCTTGTACACCATATGACACTCTTTGAATGTACGACCAAGTCATATCCGGGCTCTGATCCACACTCGTGGGAGGTGTGGGTGAAGAGCAGCGGCGCGGTATGCAACAGTAATTTATTGACGCCACACGATTGGGACTCCTGCATAACACCAGTGGCGGTGTTGTCTATTGGCTCGACAGGTACACAGTTACATATACATATTTTTATATACCATACATACATATCTATAATACAAGCATGTGTATATAACCCGCCGCATTCATGCAAATTAGTTTACATGCCAATGTTGCGAATTTTTTAATTTATATTCCGCGCTGTAAATTATTTGTTTGCCTCAAATAAATATTTACATTTTTTCCACTACCACCTACACAGGACAATTTCTGCCACAGCATGTCGGCATACCGGTGGGCGGCAAGCAAGGCGCTAAATATTATATGCTAGAGATACACTACGACAATCCACACGCACAGCAAAGTAAGTTAATTTAACACTTAAATGTAGGCATGTAAATGCAGACTTATGCCTTCGCCTTTACAGTGGTGGATCACTCGGGCTTTCGCATACATTACACGAGTCATTTGCGGCCTCACGATGCTGGCATTATGATTTCCGGCGTCTCGGTTTCGGACACACAACTTATTCCACCCGGTCAGAAGCTATATCGTAACATTGGCATCTGTGGGCCTTCCTGTTCGAATGTGGTGAGTATCTGCAGATTTATGGTACCACCAAAACAACAACCAGCACACATAAATGTCTTCATTCAAACCGCAATTTGCTGTTTATAAATTTATTATACCTATACACACATATATATTTTTATATATCTTTCTCTTTAACTGTGCGTGCGCAGATGTTTCCCGCTGACGGCATTAAAATCATCTCCGGCACATTGCATTCACATCACGCTGGCCGCAAAATGACGCTGCGTCACGTGCGCGACGGCAAGGAGCTGGAGCGCATTATCGAGGATGACAATTATGATTACAACTTCCAGCAGGTGCGTCAGCTGGAACAAGAAGTCGTTGTAATGCCGGGCGATTACATTATTACCGATTGTGCTTATGAGGTAAGTACGACAACGGCGCGCCTCTTAGTAAAGTGTGCCGACTACACTGACAGGCAGACAAATTGCATAATTTATTATCGATTTACTCGCATTTCACCACCACCAGACATTGAATCGCAAACAACCGACATTCGGTGGTTACTCAACCAAACAGGAGATGTGTCTGTCCTTTATCACCTACTATCCACGCATTGAGTTGGCTGGCTGCTATAGCATGACACCGGTGCGTGAATTTTTCGAAACATTTGGTGTTTATCAATTTTACTCGCTCAACATGACAGATGTGGAGAATTTATTCCTTTACAACGGGTGGGTGGTAGCACAGCAAATAACTGTTAAAGCATAAATTTTTGCCACGCTAATAATAAATTGACCACAATTGTTTTTCAATTCTGATTGCAGTAATGTCTTGGACTATATACCGAATACGATTTATGCCAAAACGAAAAAGAATCGCGTTAATATGACTGATGAAGAGCGTCTCTATGAAGAATCGTTGTTAAGTGAGTGAAAGCAGACGCAAACAATATTTGTTTCCAAAAAAAATTGTTGAAATTATTTAAAAATTGGAAATAAAAGCATAAGGCGAAGCACATAGTGAAGGCATATATAAAAACCTTTTTTATTGTTATATAATACGTATAAGCCCGATAACGACATGCATATATAAAAATATTTTTTATTATTATATAATATGCATAAACCAGTTAAAAGCAAACAAATAATTTCGTATTTATTTTTTTACAATTTATTACTTCTCATTCATTATGTGCCTTGCTTAAAGAAATTTATTTTATTATTTAGCATACTATAATTATTATTTTACATTATTAATATTATTTTCATTTTTATTTTTATATCAATACCAAAAGATTATTTAATTTTACTATTTTGACAGACAAGCTAATCATTTCCGATCCCGTTGAGTTCCATGACCGCACATTTTTATCACATTTAAAGCAATTGCCTTGGTCTGAGCCACTTTTTACGAAGCGCGTCGAACAAACCATGATTACTGGCAAGCATATGACATTCTGCAGGGTGTCCAATGAGTCGGTATCAATAGTAAGTAACTGTAATATTTTAAAGCATTTGAATAAGCAAGTTGTTTGGAGATATTTCGATGTGTTATTCTTATTATTGTTAAAAATTTTGGGGGCGACCTAAAGTCTCTTGTTAACTCTGAGGATCCAAGCTGCTATCGCTAATCAAGGTTATTCGCACCTTAGAGCGCGATTTCTAAGTCAACAAGAGAATGATAACTGGTTCGAAAAAAAATCTCTCAGCGATTTCGAGACAATTTTAAGTACTCCATATTGTTACACCAGGTTATGCATTTCTAGATTATATTATATTTAATTGAAGGGTCTTGCTTTTTTAGGCATAGTACTGCTTCCCAGAGTCTGATTTACAGCAATGTTCTAGTCGTTCAAAATAGATAAAAGATCTATATGACCGAACAACTTTCTTTGTTCGTGTATAAGAGAAAAAAATTTTACAGTTATAAAATCTTGAAAGCAATGTATCAGTTATTTTCCTAAAGGATCGGATTTGCTTAAAACAGAAAAAATAAAACTACTTTCGAGAAAGCTTTCTGATGCCATATGAGTCGATAGATGCATATGGGATTATGATTTTAGTGATAGTAACTAGAATCTAGCTTAAAGTTGAGTTAGTTGAAGTCAGATGGCTAACACAAGAAGAATTAGGGTGTCTGAAAAATTTGTGAATAAGTCATGCACACTCTAAAAGTAGAGAAAGAAGAGCGGTGCGACAGGAAGCCCTACGACTCATTAAGACCAACTTTTCGCCTACGAAAAATGCCGACGACTCATAATAATATTTTCCACCTACTCATTAAACGAAATGCCCAATAATCTCATAAAAAATAATTAAGTACAATTACTATACACTCTAATTTTTCGCACAGCCCTCGGAGATTATACGTTATCCGAACTTTACAACGTACGTGAAGGAACCCAGCATTTGTCCATTTCAAATGCTAATGGATAGTGCACCACTCAACCAGGGTACAGCGATAACGTTGCAAACCGCAACCATAACACTCTCAAACGTGGTACTGATGCTACTTAACTGCTATTTATGCTAGTTCATGATAATTTATATGTATTTGTATTACACAGTAGTATTATTTAGTGTATCGAAGCCTCAAAAATTATTTTATTTATTTATTTATTTTAATTTAATATTATATACTTCGCTATAAAAAATGAATAAAAATAAAAAGTGGTGGTTAATATTATAATATATATAATAAGATTAGTATATAACTAATGATAAAAAAAATTTATTTAGAATTGTCAAAAAGTACACGAAAATTATTTTCTCTATTATATTTAATTTATATAAAATCATTCTGCAACACAACTAGTAACAAGTAGTCATATTCTCTAAGTAACAACAAAAAAAAAAAAGTATTTAAAACAAGAGAAATAGTCATACATTATGCCTACATTACTTTAAACAGTATATATAAGTCGTACACATACAATGACATAATTAGCACTAGAAATCTCATTCCAAAGAATTAGTATTAAAAATTCAGTGGCAACCCTGTATGTAATATAATACAATATAGTAACAGTACTTTAAGGAAATAATCAATAAAATTTAAGTTGAAAAATAAACATGAAGAATAATTTTTGATAATATCTATTTTGAGTTGGTTGGTTGAAATGTCCAAGAGAGGTCACACGTGAACCAGTAGTGCCATTGAGCTCTCTAAAACATTCAATAAAGCTGTAGTTAGCAATTCACTGGGCGAATTTCGAATACCGAATAAGAGATTTACAATACTATTGTATTTATATAGTCATACAAAAATACAAAGTTTTCGACGAGCTTGTAAAACAACTGAGTGTCAGCCGTTATATGCAAGACAAATATTTGGCCTTTCAGATTCAAGTCTCGATTTGGTTTCGTCTTGGGTGTACTCGGGTCTCCCAAAGTAACATGAGCTAGATCGGAACTCCCACAATAGCCGATTCTACGTTAGCGGATTTGAACCGGGTTTTACCACATTCAGCCAAGGGCTGTTATTTATTTTTGTTGGGTAAAAGGATTCAAATACTTGTAAGGCTACATGTGCGTCAGTAGCTCTATTAAGCTCTTTAAAATACTCAATAAAGCTCTAATAAAATGAGCTCTTCGTTTGCTCTTGGTTCTTAACACTACATAATAATACGTAGGAAAGAAGTTGCTGAAGGAACCAATTTTCTCTCTGTGGCAGAGGTATACGGCCTACGAGAATTTCTGCGTACCGGCTTACTCCACGAATTAACTCTTAACGACCCTAAGCGCCCGTGCATCTAAAAACAAGGGTCTATAGGGATTATTTCGACGAAAGAAACTCAAGAGCAAATACTGACAGAGCACTTCGCTGTACTTTATATTATTGAATTAGCTGAAAAATTTGCCAGAAAGGTAGTAATCTTGCCAACACGTCCAAATCGCGTCCACTCATCGTCTCCAGTTATTTCAAAGCTCTATGACGGCACAGCTTGATTATATTTAAGTTTGCTGTCAATTTCTCCGTCGGTCTCCTACATCAGTGTCATTTTGCTGTGCTTACTTCGCATTTAGACAAAAAACGTTTGGCTACATTTTTGGTCGATGTCAATTCTAATTGATAAAAGGCTTCTATGGTATTCTCTTCAGATTTCGGCGATAAGTTATATTATTTCGTTTAGTTTATGGTACTATAAACGACCTTTAAAATAAAAGTATAATTTTTGAAAAACTATTTATTTTCGAAAAATATGTAACGTTAGTAAGAGAGATAACAAAATGAATTGAAGAGTTAACCTCACTTTTCGAAATTTTCGTGTGATTAAAAATAAAAAATTAAGAGTTTGGGTGCGTTCGAGATGGCAATCACGACAGCAGTGTTGCAAATTTGTCAAAGTATCACGTTCTGCGTGAATTTTTGGCAACACTTGCAACAGCATCACGTTCTACTGTCACTTTTTGCACGCAATTTATGCAAATAATCGGCAACACTAAATTTTTGTCTGCACATCAGCAGAGTATCAACAAATATGCAACACAGTAGCTGTACTGCTGCAATTATTACGTAGCTCGAACGCACCCTTTAACTCACTTTTTGAAATTCTTTCCAGATCATACACATACATTTAGCACTTTCACGAATTATTTTCCAAATATTAAAAAAAAAATCAACTATTTCGACTTAAGTTATTTCATTTTTATTTATATTTTATTCAAAGGATTTGGTATTATTTATTACAATCGTACACTGTACCAGTTTCAACTTCGCAACTCACACAGATGCGCTTATATATGTATATAGGTATGTATTTCATTCTTTAGGTGTTTTACAACCAGCAATTCGTCAACATTGGCGCATAACCTATTTGTGAACTTTTAAGAATATCTCAAAATGGAAATGAAGACTTTCTGTGTAGGAAAAGCGTTATATACAAATGTTATTTAAAGCATATCAGCTAATTAGTTTTGCATTGTTAACAGATAAATTATATTTAAGGCAACTAATAACATTAATAAGAATTTAAGTTGGGAAAGGCTTTTTTGTATACAAAACTTAAGAAGAAAATTAACGTGTAACGTGCGAGTTTTGAAATTTTTTTTTAAATTTGTTGCTTTTGTTGTTTGTCCAATTAGTCGCTACCATTTAAGAAACAAGATTTGCAGGTAAACTAAATTAATAGCATCCATTTATGTACTTAGTTGTCTAGAAGGTTTTGCACACTATGTTGGAATATATATATTTATGTTTGGAACGAGCTTAATACAGGTGTACACATAAAATTACTAAGCATAATTAATAATAATGATTAATATATATTACTTTAAGCCAAACTTCAATTCAAGCGCTAAGCCAAAGTATTATTATAGTGCACCCCCGTATGAATCGATGTTGCCACAACAACGTCACTCCGTTTGGCAATTTTTAGTATGCTTTTAATTGCATGCTATTTACATACAATCGTTAGACAGTTACAAAGTGCTTTGTATGACTGATTTATATGACTCGGCCAATGACACGCTCAAATTAAACTAAAAAATAATAATAATAGTAATTATAATTAACATTTCATACAAATAAAAAAGTTTTAAGTTTTAAATATTGAAGCAAAGATATTCTTAGTTATAAGACAAAGATGGACAAATGCCACGAAAAATTATTTTTTTGCACAGGACACTGCACGACAATAAGCATTAACGTTGGAAAACTCAACTAATTGCTGAACTAACGTAAGCCCATGGGACAGAACGTTGTTAGGGTAAAATTAGTTGGATTTTACAACGTTTATGCCGCTAAGAACAACAAGTATTTTTTTTTTTAACTTAAGCAAACGCTAACAACAAATATGTCTAGCAAATGAAATGTTAGATAATGCACTGAACACGCGCAAATTAGTAAAGATTTGCAAAAAGTTGCAGAAATCCAATTCATATTAAATGTGTGTGTGTGTGTATTTGTGTAGATTTATGGTGAGGGAGAATGTTGTCTTCTCAAGAGTTTAAAGAAATTAAAATACTGATAGCTAGCTGACTTTGCAAGAAATTTGAAAAGTTTTGTGAATGTTTTTCTTTTGTTTTGGTTTTGTTGATAGTTTGTTTTTGTTAGTGTTTGTCTATAGTTGTAGTTTCTGTTTGTTGTGTACTTTAGTTGAATTTATTCAATAGTTATAATTTGCGGTGGTTTTGCTATGTTTGTTGTTGCTAACGTAGTCGCAGCTGCCAATGGTGCAGCCGGTAACGATGTTGCTGTTGTTGCCGCTGTGGCAATCGTTGTATTTGCTGCTGTTGCTGCTGCTACCGTTGCTGTTGTTGTTGTTGTTGTTGTTCTTTGCTCGTGTATCGACGTAATACCCGTTGTCGATTGGTTGTCGTTTGTTTTTTGCAGTGTCTGTGCGGCTAATTGTCACTTTGTCGTTGCCGGTGACTCACCAACACGTTGATAACGCGGCTTGTTTCGTGTAAATGGCAGATACTTGTACTTAATCATATGCTGCAAAATGTCAAAAAAAAAAAAACAATTAACAATATGTAATATGTATATGAATGCAAATGATTAGTTAAAGCTTACCTTAATTTGCCGCTTCATTGTTATGCAGAATAGTGTAATGAAGTACATTACAAGTATAGGCCAGAAAACAGGCACATTGAAGAAGTCAAAGAATGTACATATCAGACCGATGATTGTACTTTTCGTGATCGACAGCCAAAATTTGAATTCCGGTAGACGTCGTATGAACGGCCGAAACTCTTCGTTACTACGTGTTGGCAAATTGGGACCATCTTCTGCAAATAAAAAAATGGAACAGTTTACTTAAAACAGATTTTTAATACAAGAAATCTTATTGTATTTTACGGCTTAGTATTTATTATTATAATTGAAAATGTTTTCCTTAGGAACCAAGCGTATAAATTTATATATTATTGAATAATAAAACAAAATTGCTTTACAACTAACGTATGACTTAGTAATGCATGGGAAAGCACAACGAGGCAAAAAAAATCAATAAACTGTCAACTTATGAAAATAGTTGTTTGAAAATTACTATCCCCTAATTACCTTTTTGCATTATTTTAAAGAACAATAATATTGTCACGACGAGCATTATTGTAACCGCAAGCGCCATTACACTATTACTGTTGTAGTACATGGTATATTTTTGCAAAAATTGTTTTAAACTATTTTTAACCGTTAACAATTTCACTTACCATCATTTTCGTAAGGATCGAATTCCGGGTCGATTTTTGGTGTTAGAAATGCAATAAACAAATTTAAATGATATATTCCCAGCGCATAGCACACTATATACCAGCCTTGGTAGAGGAAAATGCGTAGCAGGAAGAGCAATATAATAACAATTGCACCCGCCCATCGCATTCTAGTATGTGGCGTCCAACGATCCAGCGTCGATTGGTACATCTAAACGACAATTGTTAAAAAATATTTTACATATTGTTATTCGAAACTTACTTGTGATAGGCGTACAAAGAATAGCTTCACACCACCTCCAGTCGAAGTACTTGTGTCCTCATCCATCATTGCTGTAGTATTTTTTTAGCGTCTGCTACCAATAACTGGTACAGGTGTCGATTATTGCCGTCACTTGATTAACCTAACTTGTTTTTGCCAGATATTATAACCTTTATTTTTGAAAATATGCGCAGATAAACTAAAATATAAAGATAAACCAAAAATTCAAGTAAAAGTGCACCAGATATCCAACGTCGGCCAGTCGTCGCGTATGCACTTAAACAGCGCGTATTCACAAAAATGTATCCCCTTCGGCCCTTCGATCTGTAATTTATGCTCGTTTCTATTTCCTCATTTTACTTAGTCTCGCCTGACACTTTTCTTATTCTGCCGCACAACCACCACTGCAAACGGAGCACAACCCGTAAACCTCCTTGCACCCTCGGCTTTTATGTTCTTATTTGCTTTTCTGATAGTGACGTTCGCCTGTAATTTTTTTTCTCCAACTCGTGTTTCAACCAACACAATATGTAAAAGGAGTTATATTACAAAACTTTAACTATTCAAAGAAATATTATTTTCAATAGGCTTTAATGTGAATTGACTTTATCATTGGCTTTAAAAAGCCGTTGACGTGAAATCCAATTTAGAATTTCACACTTCTTAAAAAATTTTCCAAACTCACAATACACGTCACTAAACAGTTTGACAGTAGAACGGTCGCAGCGTTGCCAATCACATCTCTCTTTGATGTAGGGTTGTCAACTCAATACAGCTTAATTAACAATTATTGGAACAAGCGTTTTATTCATTTGTTGGAAATGTACTTAAAATTGGGAAATATATATCCAAAGAACTGAAAAATATATATTGCCAAAGATATGGTTCTTTATTAATTTAAATTGTTTGATATAAAAAAATGGGAAAATTTTCCCAACGCCAATTTGCTAAATGTTGGTAACGCGGCGGAGTGTTATTTAAAGAGAAAACTTAGAGGAACGTATATGAAATACTTTACGTTCTCTGGTTGAATTTAGTAAATTAGAACGGTTTAGTAGCAAAAGCGGCTAATTCAGATGTTTATAATTATACATGCGCGCAAACGTCTATTGCAGTAGACATTTTAGCGCTTCAAATAACAGTCTAAAATCAAAACATGGTTCTTGCAGCGACTCAAAGTAAAGCGGATACTACGGTAAACATTAAAAATCACGATTCAATCGACGAAATTAAGAACGTAATACCGCCAAAAGTATTAAAATCGAAGCCGTTACATGAAAAAGTATTCAAAGACTCCAATTCGTATATGACGGAATTTTTGAAAGATGAGCATATACAAACCATTTACAATATATTCGGAGTGGCGTTGTTTTATATAATAACATATTCAATTAGCCACGATTATTTCACACATGGCAGGTGAGTCGCTAACAGAGTTGCGAATTTTTTAATTCAAAAATTTTGGATGAAAAATTAAATTTTTATTTTTTAATCCCGATGAGATTTTTTAATCCAAGATGTTTAGGATAAAAATTTAAATAAAACGAATGAATTTCCAACAATAATAATAATAATATTTTTAATATTTTTTTTTATTGTAATATTATAAAATAATATATTTAAAAATAAAAAAATAAAATTTTTAAATATTGTTTTATAATTGGTTATATGATTTTTTTTTTAATTTCCTATAATTTTAAAATAAAAAAGTAAAATTACTAACTAATATTTTATTGTTTTTGAAACAACCGATTTTTAATAAATAGAAGAAAATACTTTTAAAATGAAAGAAATATTGTTTTTCTTTAATTTACTATCAAATAACGGATTTGGGTTTTTATCCAACTAAGGACTGTCACGTCGGCAGCTGGCTCAAATACTTATGTTTTAATGCTTTCTGCTCAACATCCATAACTTAGAGCTGTTCTTATTGCTTTAGCAGACTATATTTATCTTACTTATGGAAGAAATTGAGTATTTTCCATTATTTTATAGTCTAATATTAGCTCTACTATTGATCTATTCTGTTAACTATTTCACTAAAGGATTTACTTTGGTCGGCTTACAATAGAAGCTGGGTTTAAAGGCCTTCCCTATGCTATTGCTTGTTGGTTTATAATGCATTTAAGTGCGTTTCTAGTCTATTTTGGTGTCTCCTTATGGCTAAAAGTAAATGCTTTAAGCAAAAAAGGTAACATAATTACTCAACTAAAAAGACAAATAAATAAACTATTAAATCTCTCATCACAGTCATCTACAAATCGTGCATAAATACATTGTTCCTAGCGTTCTACATCACAACGATCTGCGCGAGCTTTGCCTTATGCGCTCTATGCTGTCTACACTATAACTTACGTATGGGCTCAGCGCTCTTTATCTTAATGGAGAGCACACGCCTCGTCATGAAAATGCATGCCTTCGTACGTTCAACAATTGGCCAAACAGCGAATCCAGCGCCTACAGTTAACAGTACTATCCAATTGCCGGGTCTGCAACACTATATTTACTTTCTATTTGCACCAGTGCTGATCTATCGCACCTCATATCCGCGCACTACCACCCCTATACGTTGGACCTTTGTGTGGGCGCGTTCAATGGAAATTCTCGCTGCAGTTTATTACTTCATCTATTTTTACGAGCGTTTCATTAGACCCTACTATCGGGAGTTCGGCGTTACCACACCACATTGGTCGGCTGTTATTGAATGTTTCTATGGCATGTTAATGCCTTCCACACTATGTCTACTCCTGTTTGTATATATGTTGTTGTATTCAATACAAAATCTCTTTGCTGAACTGTTACACTTCGGTGATCGTAGATTCTTTACGAATTGGTGGAATGTAACAAACTATCGCGATTACTTTATCAAGTGGAATTGTTTGGTGCAGGATTGGCTATATGAGTATATCTACAAGGACTGCTATAGTTATCTATCTTCTAATCGCTATGTCTGCTCATTCTTAGTTGTGACAATTTCTGCTCTCGTGCATGAACTTTTAATAGGTTTGGCATTGCAGTTATTCTTGCCCATAAATTACATATGCTTTGGTATTCTAAGTTATATAATAATGTTTCTACCGTTACGTGGTAGATTTGGAAATGTGATTGTATGGTTATTGATTATATTTGGCGTGGCGCTGCAGATGTCATTTTACAGCATGGAAGCTTTCGCAAAAATGAACTGTCCAAAGAAGCTTAATGACAATTTGTTGGACAAACTCGTGCCCTATATATGGACTTGTATACAAAATCACCGAAA